GCCCTGGCCCCACAGGGAGCTTAACCGAAGCTACATTTCAGAACACCTCTCTCGAGGATCGCGGTCCTGGTCCGACATGTAGCTCCACCGGAGCTTCATTTCTGCACACCACTCTCGAGGATCATGGCCCTGGCCCCACAGGGAGCTCCTCCGAAGCTTCATTCTAGCACGCATCTTTCGAGGATCGTGGTCCTGGCCCCACAGGAAGCTGCACCGAAGCCCGATTTCGGCACACCCCTCTCGAGGATCGTGGCCCTGGCCCCACAGGGAGCTCCACCGATGCTTCATTTCGGCACACCCCTCTCGAGGATCGCGGCCTTGGCCCCACAGGAAGCTCCACCGAAGCTTCATTTCGGCACACCCCTATCGAGGATCGAGGCCCTGGCCCCGCAGGGAGCTTAACCGAAGCTACATTTCGGCACCCCCCTCTCGAGGATCGCGGCCCTGGCCACACAGGGAGCTCCACCGAAGCTTCATCTCGGCACACCCCTATCGAGGATCGAGGCCATGGCTCCGCAGGGAGCTCCGCCGAAGCTTTATTTCGGCACACCCCTTTCGAGGATCGTTGCCCTGGCTCCGCAGGGAGCTCCGCCGAAGCTTTATTTCGGCACACCCCTTTCGAGGATCGTTGCCCTGGCCCAACTGGGAACTCCTGCGAATCTTCATTTCGGCACAGCGCTCTCGAAGATCGCGGCCCTGGGTCTCGCAGGGAGCTCCACCGAAACCGCATTGCGGCACACCCCTCTCAACGACGTCGGCTCGTAGACAACCCACAGCCCAACGGCTGCAGACAGCTTGAAGACGGCCGAAGCACGGCGAGATTCGGTGAGAACTTGGTTAGGGTGGATAGGTCCCCCTCTGGGCCTCCTCCGCCAGGAGGAGGAGGCAGGAGGAGGCGGAGAAGGAGGAGGAGGAGGAGGACTTCCCCAAACGAAAAAGGGCAAGCCTGTGTGGGTAACATCAGTACCGATCCTGCGATGTTTGCCGGCCAATTGGCGGGCGAGCGGTTGGGAGCTGCACCGAAGCTTCACTTCAGCACACCCGTCTCGATAATCTTGGCCCTGGCCCCACAGGGAGCTCCACCGAATATTTATTTCGGCACACCCCTCTCGAGGATCCTGCCCCTGGCCCAACTGGGAGCTCCTCCGAATCTTCATTTCGGCACAGCCCTCTCGAGGATCGCGGCCCTGGCCCCGCAGGGAGCTCCACAGGATAGATCCTCCACTAATAGGATTATAGTAGAGGTGGATCCAGCAGTAATAGGATTGTAGTAGAGGTGGATCCACCAGTAATAGGATTGTAGTAGAGCTGGATCCAGCAGTAATAGGATTGTAGTAGAGGTGGATCCACCAGTAATAGGATTGTAGTAGAGGTGGATCCACCTAAGGATCCGAGACGACTCCGTACATTCCGGAGCTTCGCTGGTGCACACACCGCAAAATGGCATGGAGGATGAGTCCGCACCCTTAAGCGAGCGAATTCGCCAGCGGAGCAAGGGGTTGCTGCTTGCTGGTTGCTGGTTGCTGGTTGCTGGGGGGGGGGTCCGAACCGGCCAATGGGGCACAGACGCGCGGTTCCACCTTAGGGAAGAACGCGGGGAACGAGGTTTGGGACCATGGGGTACTCACGCGCGGTTGTTCCTTGTTGTTGTTGTGGTTGTTGTTGTTGTTGTTGTTGCTGCTGTTGTTGTTGTTGCTGTTGCTGCTGTTGTTGTGGTTGTTGTTGTTGTTGTTGTTGTTGGTGTTGTTGGTGTTGTTGTTCTTGTTCTTGTTCTTGTTCTTGTTCTTGTTCTTGTTGTGGTTGTGGTTGTGGTTGTGGTTGTGGTTGTTGCTGTTGCTGTTGCTGTTGCTGTTGCTGTTGCTGTTGCTGTTGCTGTTGCTTGTTGTTGTTGTTGTTGTTGTTGTTGTTGTTGTTGTTGAACGTTAATTACTAAACAATTATTATTGTTGGAGCCCTTGTAGACGCTCTGGCGCTCTCGCCGAGGCGCCGGCTACATTTCGATTGAAAATGAGGCTCACGTTCGAGCTGTTTGGGGGACCGCCAAAACTGGCCCCCCAACAACAACAACGCTCCCGATCGAGACTTCCTCCTTTTTTACTCAGGGCTGATGTTCTTGCTCGCCGCCGAAAGCCGCCGTTCTAACAAACTCAGGGCTCCCGCTCGAGACTTCCTCCCGTTTTACCTTGGATTGGCGCGCTAGTCTTTCTCTTATCGGCGCCGCCCCCAGCAAAAACAACGCTCCCCCTCGAGGCATCCTCCCTTTTTCACTCAAGGCGGTGTTCCTCCTCGCCGCCGAAAACCGCCGCCCCGACAAAACCAGTCCTCCCGCCCGAGAGTTCTTTCCGTTTTATGCTGGACTGGCGCCCTACTCTCTTTTAAATTGGCGCCGCTCCCAGCAAGAGCAACGCTCCTGCTCGAGGCTTCTCTCTTTTTCCTCGGGACGGTGCTGTTCCTCGCCGCCGACAGCCCCGGTCCCGACAAATCCACGACTCCCGATCGATGCTTCCTCCCTTCTTACTCAAGGCGGTGTTCCTCCTCGCCGCGGAAAACCGCCGCCCCGACAAAACCAGCGCTCCCGCCCGAGACTTCCTTCCGTTTTATGCTGGACTGACGCCGTACTCTCTTTTGAATTGGCGCCGTTCCCAGCAAGAGCAACGCTCCCGCTCGAGATTTCCTCTCTTTTTCCTCGGGACGGTGCTGTTCCTCGCCGCCGACAGCCCCGGTCCCGACAAAACCACGGCTCCCGCTCGATGCTTCCTCCTGTCTTACTCAAGGCGGTGTTCCTCCTCGCCGCCGAAAGCCGCCGTGCCAACAAAACCAGCGTTCCCGCTCGAGACTTCGTTTCATTTTACGCTGGACTAGCGCCCTACTCTTCTTAGCATTGGCGCCACTCCTAGCAACAACGGCAGCCTTGCTCGAGACTTCCTCCCTTTCTATTCAGGGCCAGGTCCTTGCCTCACCGCCGACAGCTCCCATCCCCACCAAGGCAATCCTGTCGTTCGATACTTCCGTGTGCTTGACCCGTCGCTGGGGTTCCACTGGCGGTCTCGCATCGGCGCAGCAAGGTGCGGGCATGTGTTTTCGAGGCGGGATATGTTGAACTTCCTCGGAGGAGGTGTTTGCAAGACCTCATTGGGAGGGAGATCTGGGAATGGGAATAACGGATCCCGCTATAGAACGATAGTCCCCCATGATGTGGACGGTTATCATGATGGTCGTATACTTCGTGTGGAGACATCGCGCATGAGGGTAAACTCATTATTGTTGTTGTTGTTGTTGTTGTCGTCGTCGTCGTCGTCGTCGTCGTCGTCGTCGTCGTTGTTGTTGTTGTTGTTGTTGTTGTTGTTGTTGTTGTTGTTGTTGTTGTTGTTGTTGTTGTTGTTGTTGTTGTTGTTGTCGTTGTCGTCGTCGTTGTCGTCGTCGTCGTCGTCGTCGTCGTCGTCGTCGTCGTCGTTGTTGTTGTTGTTGTTGTTGTTGTTGTTGTAGTTGTTGTTGTTGTTGTTGTTGTTGTTGTTGTTGTTGTTGTTGTTGTTGTTGTTGGTGTTGGTGTTGTTGTTGTTTGTTGTTGTCGCCCCCCCCGCGAACCACCCGCGACCCACCCCGCGACCCACCCCGCGACCACCCCGCGACCCACCCGCGACCCACCCCGCGACCCACCCCGCGACCCACCCGCAACCCACCCCGCGACCCACCCGCGACCCACCCCGCGACCCATCCGCGACCCACCCGCAACCCACCCGTGTCTCATATCCATCCCGCGACCCTTCCGCGACCCTTCCGCGACCCACCCGCGACCCAGCTGCGACCTATTTGCGACCCACCCGCGACCTACCCACAGTGGTTTAATGAACAAATCGGCGCCCGCGGCGGGCTCGTTGTATAATTTGTGAAACTTTGGCACCTTTGGCGGGCTTCGTCAGAGTCTCGCAGACTGCCGACGTCCCCACCGCACCCTCACTCTTCTCCTCATCTGCGGGGTGCTACGGTTATTTTTGATGCGGTGTGTAAGGTCCACATGCGTGCGCGACGCATCGCGAGCATTTGACAATGTGTTGGCCCGCATCAGGTAGGGACGTGGCACGGGAAATGTTGACATCCGGGCATCAGTTAGCGATGAGCTAGCCTGCGTGTATCTTGTATCACGCAGGGTCGAGGCGTGGTGGGAAGTGAGAAGGGGCGGGCCTTCTCAGATGTCTCGGAAGTCTCACAGCCTGCTGGGAGGTTTTCAACTTGTCCGAAGGCGCCAGGGTTTCTGAGAAGTCCCGCCGCCTTCTGAGAAGGCCTTCTCCTCCTCCTCACCGTCCCCCCCCCTCGCTCGCCGCCGAGATCAGGGGGGGCGCTCCATCAGCTTTCTGTGGCCACTGGACAAGTAGGGGCGGAACGCTCTCGAGAAATCGGGACGCTTGGGCATTTTTTGGGCCCTCGGGCTCGCTCCCCCCCTCCTCCGCGCGCTCTCCCCGATGGTGCTCATCGCTCTCCGCTGGCTGGTCCCTCTTCGTGCCTGCTCCCTTCGCCCCTCGCGCGGGCGGGGCGCGGCCCCCCGATGACCTCGTCTGTCACGCCACTCGCTGTCGGAGGCGAGCGAGGGGGGCGGGGAAGGTGAGGAGGGCAAGGCCCTCTCGGAAGGCGACGGGACTTCTCTCTCAGAAGCCCTCGCGCCCACTGAGAGGTCTTCCGTGTCTGCGGGGAAGGCTCGGGCAACCTCTCGGAAGGCCGCGGAGCTTCCGAGCCCTCTGAGGAGGCCCACGCCTTCTCACTACTCCCCCTTGCTCGCTGCCGATAGGTAGTGCTTTCAGAGGTCGATTGCTCCGCAGAAGTGTTACCCCGCCGACCGCCCCCCAGAGGGCATTCCTCTGAGCGAAGCTTCCCAGCTCCTCATGGGGACAATCCGTCTGTGCGTCGGAGTTTTTTCGCCCGAATTTTGAAGGGCCTCTTCTGAATTTCGATGCTCCTCGGCTGCTCAACTGTCCGATGCAAGTCCGAGCCCGAGCCCGCTTCAG